ACATCTTTCTTAGGAATATGCATTATTCCTGCATATCTAAAAAGTAAAATTCTATTTGATCAAAAGGAGAGCTATCAAAATAAATATTAAAAAAGAATTAAAAAAAGATAACTAATGCAGTTATTTAATATTTGCACTCTAACGATTATTTTAAAATTAAAGGAAGTAACAAATGTTTTAAATGTTTAAAAAAAAGATTCGTTCTTTGACACTTACTTCGAGAGACACGGCATGTCCCATATTTTCTGATCCTTTCCAAAATCTTCACCATCTTGCAAGGTCTGTGGCAGATCCTTATCGAGGGTCTCCGGCAACAGGAGCGTCAGGAGACCGCCCAAAACGCCCATGATGCCGAGAACCAACAGTGGCAAAATCGGAGAGACAACATCCAGGTAAACGACAAAGGGTGCAAGAATGCTGGCAACATATCCCATTATATGGATCAAGGCAACTCCTTGAGCCCTCACAACCGTCGGCAACACCTCGGCCGCATACTGAAGACCAATGTTATACGAAATATTGACCCAAAATCTGCCGACGATCGCTAAAGTAGCCGAATAAATACCTAAAATATTCAAGCAGAAAAAACTGCGTACAATCCCGAAGAATATACTAACTAGATGTAATTTTAATTTTTTAATTTCTGAATTTTTTTAATTTATAAATTTCGAAAACAGAAATACATGGAAATTGCTAGATTTTTTTAAAACGGTGAAAAGAGATAATTCAACAGTACTCACTGTTTGAAACTGCGCTCGCCCAAATACTGAAAATTCCGGAAATTACCATGGTACCGCAGGCCAGCCATCGTCTACCCCATCGATCGAGAACGAGGGTGAGAAATGTGTCGGCGGGTAGTTCGGTAAATGCCGCGATGGTAAACGTTACAAAGACGTCGAGTCCGAGATTATTCACGTTTCTTACGTGACCATCAAATACCAGCGATATCGCCATCCTGCATCGAGATAATCGATATAAAGAACGACATTGCCTTATTCCTTATAGTCATTCAATAACGATTATTCTTTATTCGATGATTCACATATTTTCTCTCTTATATGCTACAATAATAAAATGTCTGTTAAATTTGTCTGTTAATACTAAAAATAGCTAACGATCATTTTTAAACCTAATGTTCTAATTTTTTAACATTTTTTTTTCTAGTACCACACACAGATAAGAATTTAAAATTTGATTTTGATTTTAATATTCCATCCAAAATAGAGTAACGAAATATTAGAAAATTTGAAAATCGTATCTTTAATACGTGAAATAAAGATAATTAATTTTTCAAAAATAGAAATGTTTACAAATGACCACTCAATTAAAGAAACATTTTTATTATAAAGATCACTCACCAAATAATGATGAGGAGAATCGTAATATTTCGCAAACGTGGACTCTTAAATAGATCCACCACGGAATAAGTTTTGTCCGCCTCTTGTTCCTTGCATACTCTGGCGCAGGTTTCCTGTTGCATCAATAAACAGCCATTTACAATGCGAATCTTTTTTGAATTTGATACACTTCTTGCTTTCTTTTCTTTCTCAGAACGCAAAAAGCGACGAGAGAAGGATACTTACGCGGAATTGCTGATAGACGTTCTCGGGTACTTTCGTGCCGTTGATGTGTTCGAATTTACCCAGGATTCTAATTGCCTTCTCCACTTGGCCTTGACTGACAAGCCACCTCGCGCTCTCCGGTACCAACCAGGGTGCCGCCACTGCCAGAACTAGGGGAACGGATATCGTGATGCAAGTCATCCTCCAGTCGGCCAGGAAATACGCGATCCAGGGTAAGATGCAGGCAGCAAACGTGAAGAACAGAGCTATCGACATGTTCGCCACGAAAGTGCGCCATTTTGGTCCCACGTATTCCAATACTGAAAGAAAAATACGTTAGTCTAAATATTGTTCCAACAGAGCTCCGCGAAGTTCCAGTGATTTCGAAATCGGAAATGTGATCCAAAAATTGTAAAAAAGGAAACGACATATCCGTCATGTCGATAAAACCTTCATTTAAATTGCGTATATCAATGACGTGTTTTGTTACACAATAATTTACTTTTCAGGCGAATATCATCGTCTTTGAGCACATTTGTTCGCGGATAGTCGATTTTAAAGTCTTCAGATAGACTAATGATCAAATTATTACGTCATCACAAATGATATCCTCCACTAACCTTGGACGAAAATTGGAGACTCAAAGTTTCTCTTTCTCTTTCTCTTTCTCTCTCTTATAATTTAGGTAATACTGGGCTATTAACGCAAGGAAATCTGATAGTTAACGTAAACTTCCCCTTTAGGCTAGTGACCAAATCTAGCTGTTGGCTGCTTCATCATGTGACGGTAAATGTTCGAATATCAAATTACAATGTTTCCTATTTATTAAGTGGAGAGCGCATTATTGCCGACTTAGAATATTTTAATTAGATCAACGAGTGGTTATTTTTTCTAATGCGCTACCTTCACGCTACCATCCATCTGTGAAGCGTAAAATTATCAGTGATCTGATCTATGCGTGTTCAGCGACGGTCACAAGGCTACGAGATTCAGCATAAATTGATTTATACATTTCGAAATTTCAAAATGGGTCGGTTGCATACTTCGTGAATAATTTTAGAAGGCGTATATTAATATTCAAGACTTCTTCTCTTACGATCAAAAAGAAACGTATTATCACTTAATGTCAAGTTCCTCTCCCGAGAATAAAATAATTTATACAATTATTATATTTATTATTATTATTATTATTATTATTATTAATTAATAATGATTATATAATTATTATAGTACTACAAATAAAATTATTTATGTAACTATCAATCTTCAACACTCGCGTCGGTCTTACGATTTCCACGGTAGCGATTTGCGGTATAAAAAAAAAGTTGACGGGCTCTCGGCAAAATTCCGAGAAGTTGAGCGATTTTCCTTTATCCTTCGACGGCAAATTGATATCAAACTCTCCGTAACGAAATAAATTTCTCATGAGAGACAATGAAATGCGATCGTGTTGACTTAATGCCTCTCTCACGAGCGGTTAACGGCACGTGCCTCTGACATTGGCCACGCTCCCACCAACGAGATCGGCGAAACGGAACTGGCAAAACGCGCGCGAGTGCAATAACCGTGACTTCGTGAGTCAAACCAGGCGAGCTTGACCTGGAAGGCTGAATCCGGCGATCGTAATCGGCCGTGACTCGACAGACAGGACGCTCGAAGATCGATTCGGGATTGGCGATCACCAGCTCGAACCGAATTGTCGGCCTATCGCCAAAGTATCCGGCGGCGATAATAAATCGGCCGCAATAATTGCGCAAGGAGAGGCAAGAAACGCGCGGAAGATCGTATTCCTTTTTTCGCGACGCGATCGAGGATTTACGATGTACAAACGCGTATCTATTGTTCGCGAATCCACAGTCCGTTTTCTCAGAAAGGCCCTTACGAGGATTACGTTTTAATCGCGATTTAATCAGCTTAATTAGAATCGCGAGTAAACGACGATTGCAGCGCGATAGCTGACGGGGTTAAGGTTGACGTAACGGTTTAGTGAATACAAGGAGATGCATTTCTAGCGCATGGCATTGTTCCACGTTTGAAATTGGGATACACACGCACGTGTGGGAAGCGTGCTTCTAAAGGGAACGCCCACGGACTTTACTCACCGCTCTTATAATCGCTAATAAGCGCCGTAGAAAGGAAAACTGACTTTTAAGGCCGATCTCGATCTATTTCTGTCTCAAATTCCATCAATCCTGTTTGACGCTGGCTATGCCGCTAGATGTCTAATTACAGACTTTGATAAACAAGGAACTGAGAGTCGAAACAACTCTCATTGTGTCTCGATGGCGAATGAAGTATTAAATCATAATTTGTCGTTTGGCGACAATTCTTAGTTAGTATATAGGCAAGCAAGTTCAGACGCAAAAATTAATCCCGGAATCCAGCAAATCGAGTCTTCACATATCAGATCAGAGTTATAATTAATCAGTTGTTTCCCGCCAAGACTATTATCGCTACCATTATTCGGAAATATGATTTATAATCTTAATACGACTTTCGTTTTCCTTTTCTTCGTTAGCTTATGATCAAATGTCGTGCGTGTTTGAGACCGAGACAAGCTTGTAAGATATCTTCGTCTTTCGAGGTCATAAATTGTATAATTGAAAGGAAGCATTTATCATCAATGAGGAAGCGATTATCGCTTCATAAGGAGATAAAAACTTCTAAGGTTAACACGCAACAGAAATTGAAAAAGGTGAATTTTACAAGATTCAATTCCTCAATAAAAGTTTTTTTTTTTCTACAAGAAAAATCATTCAAAAACATCTTCATAACAAAAATATGATTCTATTAAAGCATATAAGACTTTGGCCAAGTGCAGCTCAAATAGTTTTGTTAGATTGTCAAAATACAAGATAGTCAAGTTAAAATATAAAAAGTTTTTACAGTATCATTTAAGTATTCAACAAAATTACTTTTAGATCTGACCAAATGTGCAAATACTTTAGCAAAACCATTCTCCAGTTTAGCGTTTCGTGTTCCGATTTATATAAAAATTTCGCGACGCATACGTACCCAGGATATACATCATGGTGAAGCAATTGTCGAAGGCAAAGCCAACGAAAAATCGGCACAGCGCAAACTCCCAGAAACTTCCGGCTAACACGGTCGCGACACCCGCTAGGAAACCGGTGACATTGGCGCCGACCAGCGCCGGTATTCTACCATATCTGTCCGCGATCCATCCGAAGATCAGGCCGCCGAAGATCGCGCCGATGAAGAAGACGCTCTGGGCAGTCGTCGGCAGTGCACTGTGCTCGCACACCCATCCCAGCTATAATGAAGATTCAGATAATTTACTTCTCGGATCGGCCCACAAAAAAAGTGAAATCTGTCACTTGCGAGCAAATATGAATGAATGATGAATATTATAAGAAAATGATCGCCAAACTGCGCTCCATAAACTAAATCAGTTTAGCCTAATTATCGTCTTGAACTTTATCAATAAAAGAATTGTTTTGTTCATCTGAAAAATTTGGTAGATAGATTTGAAAATAATTTTGTTGGACCAAAAAATCATTATGTAGGATGTTTAAACGTGATGATAATATTACAAAAATTTTTGACATTCCGATAATTAATTTGAGCATTATATAATTGTTTTAATGGCCTAACAAAATTATTTTCAAATCTATATCTGTCCAAATTTTTACGTACTTCAGCAAAACTGTTCTTCTCCTTACATTCTAGATTTTGTTTTTCCGTGTCTGCTTAAAATATTTTTTATCTCGGCCTTTATAAAAAGTGCTTGTTAATTTTCATTGTGCGATCTCGCTATAATCAAAAGGCGGCCGACATGAAGATTGAGGCAGGAAAAAATTGGAGAACACTCGGTCATCCGGAAGCCAAGATGACGGATCGCTTCCGAGTCTGTCCAGCGGCACGATTCCATTTATAAACGACGCGGAGATTCGATAAACGCGAGGAATTGCTCAATTCCTTCAATCACGCGTACAAATTGTTTCGCTCTTTACGTACTCGACTCGTCCTTGCGACGCGTTCACGTGGCGCGAGTTCGCGTGACAGCTCGGCGCAAACATCTGTTGCACGTTGTCGGTGGTATGCGAGTATACGCTGATGTCTTTCGACTGGCGAGTGCTCGTTAGATCGGAGATTTGCCGTAACATATCCATGTCGCTCGTTACCAACGTGTCACACTAGAGACACCTTAGAATATCTAAATAGCATCGCGAATGCGCTCTTAACGCTTTAACGAAAGGATGTCGTCGCTGGAGGAAAGAGTTCTCATCCGATCCTCATCCTTCCGGTTTTCTCTACTTTCTCACCTCGGTCGCCACGGTCTCGTAGGGGATGTCAGTAAAATTGAATTCCCAGCCGTGCGAGCAACCCCTCGTCGGCCAGCTCGGATCCGCCTCCCTGATCCCGTCCAACAGGATCTCCGTGTAATTCACGTCGTACATGGTGCACTTGGAGTAACCATTCTCGCCGGGTGGTATCGCCAGGGCGATCCTGAAAGAATCGAGATCCAAATGAAAATATCATTTGCGCGCTGCTCGCAGAAAGAACCTCCCACGCGAATGTGGGAAGTTCCGGTAAGACAAGTTGATATAATAAGAAGTTCCACGTAAATGTCACGCATTGACCCAATAAATGTCAGACGCAGGAGAGAGTACATCCGGACGGGAAATTGAAAAAGATTATAAGCCGGCAATTAAGATCGAGTATATAAAGATCGCCAATTATCGTGCACACCTCCGGCTAATAACGCATGCAAATCTGACCTTTGTGCGAGAGTTACATGAACGAATGGACGCATTCGACATCGATTGCAATGCACGTACGACATTTTTCATCCTTGATAGATACGTTCGCGCGCGAACGTCTCTCTAGACTTTACACGAGTTGGTGACTAGCCATGTAAAAAGATCGAAGTTACAATGTCAGATCGTAAATCTGCACAGATACGTGCAAAAACGTCTCATCTTTGAGAAAAAAATTATGTTAAAGATATTTTAATGTATCTCATTCAGAAGCGTTTAAAATAATTTCTTGACTTTATATCAATTATAAAAATGTCATCAAATGATTTTTCTTGCAAATGTTTTTGTAATCGCAAAATAATCGCTACTTCATCTTTTAATGTAATTTTTGTACAATTTAGATTTAATTTTGTTCTTTGAAGAAATATTAAATTATTAATGATTTTTTTAGTTACAAATAACTATGTACTTCTTTATGAAGTGATCTTCAAGAATAAAAGATAAATTATAAAATCACATTTATTTTCAAGTGAGTTTTTAAGTAAATTTTAATTAAAAGTTGTATTATTAAAATATTTAACGTAAAGTCATAATAAAAATAGAAGACAATAAAGAAATTTAATTAAATTTTTGTTTTATATATATATATATATATTGTAATATATATTGTAGATAAAAATTTGGTTTTAAATATTCTTTAAAAAACTCATAGGTGAAAAGCTTCGTAAAGATATTCATATAATTACAACCATAGCGAAATTATTTCTTTTTTGGCATTTTGTTTGTGTTTGATTTCAATTCAAACAATTTTTATTCTAAAATATAACATCCAGTTAAGTCTTGGCAATATTTATATATTGTAAGTAAATAAAATTTTTTCGCATATATTCTTCGAAAAATCCATAAACCTGAAACTTCGTGAATCTTTTTATGTAACAACAGACATTATAGAACTATCCTTTCTCTTGTTCAAATTTACTTCAATTTACTTCTGATTTGAAGTTTCCATCTCGTCGATTATTATATAATCAGGCAATTAAACAATAAATGAATGAAAACGCGCATCATCAGGAACATCCTATTTAAGGATCGTCTCTTGTCGTTCGCGTGCGATCAGCGTGATATTAGCGCAGCGTTATGTCGAAAGGCTTACACAGGAATTTTTCACGTTCACGCTCTCATTGCTTACACGAAGGTTTCGTGCAAATTTATTATTCATTATCCACGAATATTCGTGCTGGCCTCCGGGCAGTCGGAGGCGTTGTGCAAATACATACATTGCCTTATTGATTTTCCAATTGCCGTTAACAATCGCAAAAAAACGTTAGCACAAGCGTAGCAAAATTGCCGCGTCAGTTGTCAAAATTGCCATAAGCCGTAACGGCTGATGAAAGAACTTCAGAGGAAAAAAAGGAAACATTTTCGATACACTTCACGGTAACTCGTGAAAAGAGAAAAAGCCATTCTTATTAAAGCGCTAAGCCATTAAGTCGCGATTTATGGTTTGTATGTGAGAGAATGGTAATAGCTTATAATTGCGAATTATATCTCTCTCGCTAATCTTCCCTAGTGTCGAAACACGTGTGGCGAATGTTGAAAAAAATATTTCCACTTCATTTAGTACGAGCATCATTCTGACACTACAATCGGCCTATTAATTATGCGGATTAGTTAGATAAAGTTGCAAGTAGTTGCAAGTAGTTGAAAATAGTTGCAAGTATTAACTGCTGTAATATAAATATATATACATTGGTCGCCCGATATCTATCCTACATTTCTTATGGGTTCCCGCAAAAGAATCGACATCAACCGGTCGTTTATCTCGTCATTACGCTGACGTCAAAGAGAGAAAGAGACTATTAAAACCAGCGCGCAGGTATTACTAATCGCGCGATCCTTGTCGTGCCGAATCATGCAATCGAATTGTGGCTGCGAAGGTCTCGACGTCGCGTCGTTTCCATACTTTCCCTGGCCGATATGTACCTAGAAACACCGATACGTTTCGCACCTCGCAGTTTCCATCCGTTCTTTCACGACCGCCGGAGATGAAAAAATCGTCGACGCTCGCTGTCACGCGAAAAACACGGCGATAATAGACGAGAATAGCGTTACACGTACGCCACGCTTATTTCCTTTTTCTTCCATTCCACTTTTTTCTCTTTTTTTATTAAAAAACCATGAGGTGTACGTGTTTACTCAAAGTGCATAACGGATCGTTGAGAGCGCTTTTACGAGTTATTAGCGCACCTCGTATTATGTCGTTACAGTCGGATTTGCGTACTCGACTGAACAAGCTGTACACTAAATGCGAGCTCACTTTGAACAATTTACGATTCATGTTGAAGAATTTTGAGGAGAATTTTATTTACAGTTTTACGTTGTAAAGTTCGAAAAGGATATTTTAAATCTTAGATCAAAATATTTATATGCATATAAAAAATATTAAAATATTAAATATGCGATGTAAGAAATAAAGTGCAGTCTTAACATCTGATAAGAGTTAGAAAAATCATTTAAATCGACGCATTTTTCATATTTTTCTGTTTATTTCTTGATGTCTTTAGAAACTAAATTTAATAGGAATTAAATTTTCTACACATCTAGCATTTTCTGAAAGATTTTTTTTCTTCTGAAAGATTTTTTTGCCTTTTAATTTAAAAACAAATAATTCTAAGCCGAACATTGCGTTTAGTAATATTATAGTAGTATTATGTAAAAGATAATTTAGTCAGCTAATGATTAATAATCCATAAAATACGCCGGACAAGCTTTCGTAGCGGGAAAATATAACAAACCACTGTCATGAATCATCATTTCTACGTATTGCGGGTGAGTTGAACGTTTAAAAAATGTTTATTTGCGCGAACAATTATCCGTGAGAAAATGATCTCTTAAAATAGGATAATGATTATCATAAGCAGAATAACATTCACTTGAATTATTTCGAAAAAAGGTGCTGCCGGCGAAACACGGGGATAAACTACGACCGATTACTATCGATCCTTGAATTATTATTGAAAAAAATAATAGGAAAACGAGGAAGTGTTTATGGAAATGCAGTTGCATAAGCAACAAAGAAACAAAGCAATATTTAAAACTATGGAACCTGTTATCGCTCTTCAACGTTTCTGATGAAAAGTTTCTTCTCCTATTGACGTACGCGTGCGTCGCATTGCCGTTGGGGGACTATCTGTATCGCTGTATCGCTTTACGACACGCTCTATTATTCTTTATCGAAGTTAAAGCGTATAGAAAAAAATCGTTTATCGTCCTACATACAGATTCCAGAACATTGTCATCTGATAGGGACGACGAGACGCCTTATCGGCGTTTCTTGTTCAAATTTCTCGTAATTAGTTTGTTATTTATCGACATATAGGTGACAATCACGTTGCAGCTTGATTATTTTACATTTTGCGTAAATAAGTGATGATAAGAGAGAAGATACGAGAGACTGTACCGAAGAAATTATTCTTAGATGATGATCTTAATATCGCTAAGTGTCATAAAGGCATTTTGCGATTTATTTATGACATTTACATAAAACTGTGAATTCCTCGGGTTACGTGGATAAGTAATATAAAATATGCTCAAATAAACACATGTCAAAAAATCACATGTCGAATAATAATAATTTGCGAAAATATTCAAATATATGTATAAAGATTTATGTCAACTTGTAGCAATTGTTTTTTCATCCGTAGAAGACATATGATTAACAAATGTCTAATGTGTTAATATTGTTTGAATAATATTTATTAAGTAATATTTATTATTATACAATTTATTCATTTTTACCGACGCATTTTTTCAAATATTTTTTTCAAATTTAATTTCGCAGAGATTAACGCGATATTAATATTGCCGCTATCTTCCCATCGTTTCTATCGACGCGATCACAGTTTTCTCTTTAAACGTTAAAACGTGAAAGTGCTAGCGAAGGATGACTCAACTTCCACCCTACCTCTCTTGGACCGTGAGGTTCTCCAGTTCCGGCACACGGCACCAGTGCTCCTCCGGCACGAGGGTGATGAATATCTGCGAGAAGTACACCCAGGCGACGAAGAAGGCGAACGGTATCATCAGCACGAACAGGATCCTCTGGTAAGTGCCGAATTCACCTACGTGCGGCAGGAGGTCATCGAAGTCCATGTCTTTGGGCTCCTGGTCGTCCTGCTCGTCGCCGCTTTTGCGGCCCTTGACGGACGAGAGTCCGTCGGACGAGGCCGAGGCCGACAGACCTCCGTCAGGACTCAGGTCCTGCGGGGACAGGTTCCCGGGGACCTCACCGGCCGCCGGGAACTTCTCCTGCGGCGGCATCTCGCTGTCGACCGAGATCTCCGAAGTTCCCCGGGAGAAGAGTGGAGGTAGCACTTTCTTCGCGTGGCGGCCGCTGCGTTTGAGATCCAGCCTTCGAGATGCTGCGCCACGCGCGCACAATCAGGACGCCCGGTTGTCCGCCGCGGTGCGGCAAAACAAAATGCTTGTACTTTAAACGGGAGCACTCGTTTATGCGGAACTCCACCTCAGCTTCCGCTCCGACGATGGCGTTCTACGTCCCGATGAACATGCTGAAGATGCCTGATCTCTGCGCTCGTCGAGGAACGAACGAACTCGTTATCACGCCTCGTTACCTCTCCTTTCGCAGGCGCCGCTTGCGATCTTAGATCGCGATAACCGAATCGATCGAAGCTAATCGGCTCAACGGTCGTCTAGACGGTCGTTCGATTAAATCGTGACTGTGGACATCGCGGGAGATCGCGAGATCGCGAAGCCTCGGGAAAATCGAGGCTAATCCGAGGAGGCGTGTGATAGACGAAAAAAAAAAGGAAGCGAACAAATCCTGAGACGAGAGACAACGACTGAAACGATCTGTTGCGTTCGTGACTGGCTATATAGGCATCGACCGTGGGGTATACCCCCTCTTTCTTTCTCTCTCTCTCTCTCTCTCTCTCTCTCTCTATGCTGTTACTGAACACAATTCAATGTTCTCCAAGTGTGGCATTGAACGCACCACGGATCACATCGATCGCCCTCGTCCATTGCTGCTGCTGCCGCTGTCGCTGCTGCTGCCGCTGCTGCTGCTGTTGCTGCTGCTGCTACTGATGCTGATGCTCGAATCACCGGCGTTGGTCTCTTCTCTTTTCCAGCGTCGCGCACGTCGCATACAGAGGCCGACCAGTAGTGGATATTTTTGGATATTGATTGGATATCCCACTAACGTGCAATGTTCACTTAAAAATGTAGTTTTAAAACACTCCACGCCAAAGATGCAAATCAAACATACAAAGTGTTACGATAATTTTTCCTTTATTATTGTAATTATATTTCTTAAATGTTGTATGTAATTTTTTGTATTTTTTTAGACACCATGATCGAAGAAGATCATCTTGTATATTCTTAGTATTAAAACACTTTCTTCGTCTGTTTATATCTTTGTGGTTATTAAACTTTAGGATTTAATTCCAAGTATAAGAGAAACATACGTTTTCTGCTTGTAAAACAATATAGGTGAGGCAATATGTGAGAAGATATATCTTGAAAATTATTTCTAGTTATAAGAGATAGAGATGTTCTGCAAAGTAGTAACAATTATAAATTCCAGATATATAAAAAATGTTTGCATAAGTTAGAATTCGAAATCAACGATATAGAAAAAGATGATGCAACAGTTGCAAAAGATTTCATTTCTTTTATTACTATTTAAAGAGAAGATTTAGTTTAAAAATCTAACTTCAAAATCTTACATTGATGATTACGTAATAATTAACATGTACACTTGTGGCGAAATATTACAATGCCTTTTGTTTCCAACACACGTATAGATATTTCGTAAGATTTGGCATATTCCCATAATCTAATAGTAATCTTCATGTATTTTTTTTTTTTATTGAAACTGAACATATTATACAAAAACTATGCTGAATATATTTTTTTGTCTTTTCCTTAATATATATTGAAAGAAATTGTATATCTGAGAAATACATGACTAGAAATCTATATATTCCTTGGTTATACTAAACATAGATGTATTAAAAAATTTAAATGTAACCATATTCCTCAGATAACAAAAAAAATTAATATTTTTAGTACGAGCAATCAATTGTATATAAACCGAGCGTATGTTCAATACGAAAATAAAATACCGGAAAACAATTATCTTGAATTTATATATAAATATGAAAATAAAAAGGGATTGTCGCAAACGCTAAAAAAAACCCCTATTTTATCGAGTAGCCAGTATTCGGTTCTCCTTCTCGTTTTATGTATATAACATAAAATGTCTCTCAAATACATAACAGACGGAATTTTATTTTCTTTGAACATTTGTAATCAACTTTCTTATTTCTTTTTTAATTAAAATCTATCTGCCAATAGAAAATTTGCAGAAAAATATAAATTTGCAGTGAAGAAGACAAAGAGAAAACGTTGTACTTTTTGTACAAATACCCGAATAAATCATTTCTGATGACGTGAATCCGTAAATCCCGTTTGATAATGATACGATCTGTAAAAACCACAAACATGCAGAATTCTCTCCATGATTTGGAACGTACGTTTTATTCTAAGGAATATTTATTTCCGTTTGTGTTGTCATATATGAAATAATTGACTCGGTGAGTCAGGGAGATATAACGTTCGCTTGCTCGAGAAATTTTCACTATTTAAGATATTAATCAGCATTTATCTCAAAGATTAAATCGCGGTCGACACGATTTCATTTCCTAAAAGTTTTCTATAATATATATTATATTTTTCTAACCTGGTCAAAATTTTCCATTTATGTCCTCAATAGCAATCTAAAAAAAAAAAAATTCAAAACGGTCTTATCTACACAATTGTAGAGATATCTTTGGAGCATGTGTAGCATTGTTTATCGCAGATCATAATATCCATAATTAAGCAGGTGATCATTAATATATAATTGTTCTTTGTGACACGATAGATAAAAAGAACAATTATGGCAATAAAAACATGGAATTTTTAACTTGTATCTACACATGCGATTATTAATCACTTGCACTTTATATTTTAGTGTAAAAATAGAGGTAACTTATACAATTATATATATGTTACTTGTTATTATTTAAATTTTCTTATTTCTTATTCCACATGCGAGTGAATTATCATAACATTACAAGACAAAAAGTTGATAAGAAAATCACTCGTTTCCTTTCGTTTTCGAGATTTTATGTTTCAAGAGCAGAATTGAGAATCATTCGGTCCGAAAAAGCACGGATATGTAAGAATTATGAATATAAATATAATATAAAAATTATAAATATAGTAACAATTACGATAGCATTGCATCTACGATAATAGTTCGCGCTAATTTGTTAATATTGTTTATTGTTAGAAAGTAAAATGGAATGTAAGCTAAGTCCTCCTTCATCGTCTATCTTAATTCCGTCATATCCGTGTTAATAACTTATACAGACATTATCTGTACGTTTCATAAATAATTCCAATCGAAATGACTATGTCGTTTCGCACATGTAATTAATTTTATCCATTAGGGAATATTCTACGATCAGGGAACATTTTAGCATTTGTACAAAATACGCAGTTCTAATTCCCAAGTGCAATTCCATAAATTTGTATTAAAACCAATTAATGGCAACAATTTAATTTAATTGAATGCTTGATCTATTCGTTTATATTGTTCCGAGGGATATTTTTACTACGATGTACTTGAACTAATCTTACAACAATAGAGAATAATACTGTAAAACATAATCGGTTTGAGAACTCAAGATTAGCTGATGCGTTTCTATAAGTTAGCGTTTCTATAAGTTAAGTATATTAAAATATTCATTGATTATTCACAAAGCTATTGATTTAAATGCAAAAAGACATCACGTTGCACCTGTCAAGAGATCTTATAAATAAGATCGCAAGAGCTTTCATGTGGAATAACTTAATGCAAATTGGTTCGATTACGCTTTCGCACGATCGATTTTGCGATAAATCCGTTCGACAACACGAGTCATTAGATTACAGATAATAAATGGAAAGGGAGTTTAGAAAAAATACTTAATCCTTGACGCAAATCAACGTGAAGGTTTATTTTCTATTCCGTAATGTGATTTTTAGAAACTATCGGACAATTTGTATACAGAGGATAAAAATAGTTTAAAAAATAGAAATAAATTCTTTTTCGTTTTGAAATGTTGCATTTATTTGAAAGGGAGATTTTCATTTAAATGAGAAATTAAACTTTCATCCCAAAGTTGAATTTCACATTCGTCCAGCACTCTTCTAAAATAAAATTAAATGGAGTTAATAATTATATTATTTACTTATTTGGAAATATATACATTTGTAGTGATAAGATCACAAAAATATTACATATCATAATTTATTAATTTATATTATGAATATCAATGAGGAAATACTGTTTCAAATTTGTTATATTAGAATATTATAATTTAACAAATTTTCAACGTTTTAAACGTCTAAAGATCTATACCAACACTAAATATTTATTTAAACACTTATATGTTATTTAGTAGATCAGTAATATGTCTTCTTACAACATGAAGGAGATCCAAGGAGATGAAAAAATTAACTTTGTACTGTATTCATTGTCATAAAAACATAATTTATAAATCACTTTCGTATAATTCCTATCATATTCATATTAAATTAATTCACTAATTAAAATCTAATAAAAGTATAAATAATATCATATTTAATATTAATTAATATTAATTGTACGTAATTTTATTCGCCCAGTGTATAATATGAATCCCTGAAAAATTAAAATAATTTTGTTACTAAATCTTATTTATATTGTAAAAGTTTGTTTTTATTATTTAAATAAAATAAAATAAATGCAAAAGTACATGTAAAAAAAAAGAAAACATTTTAAATTTTAAAACTTGCTTTAAATTAAGAATACTAGTTAATATTTATATTTATTATTTACCTATAATTATATACTGATCTTCGTTTCTTTCGATAAATTATTGTCGCTGATACTGAAACTGCTATTAATATAGTGGTTATGATAACTGCAACTAAATAAAAATTTTATTATTATTATTATTATTATATTATTATTATTATATATACATATATAACATCTTTAAAAATTTATATAATTATTAAATAAAACTTACTTAATATTTTATATGTCGGTATTGATACATCTTTCGATTGTGTCCTAAGGCACTTTGTTATATGAGATAAAGTACCATTAACCATGGGACAATTTAAATTAAGTATCTTACAAAATAAAGGAAATAAGTCTGTATTATTAAAAGGTTCTAATTTACATCTTGGCATAAAAGCTGGCCCATTCGCAAAGAAAAATGGATGCATATCTTTAGCTTCATTATTATAACCATGCAGCCCAAATTCTGTCCGATTATTAACTAAATGGAAAACAATAACTCAATGTTAAAAATTATATGATATACATATAGCAATAAATATAAATATTACAAAATTACCTGTAATATTAAATTTATGTTTATAATATTCTATAGCATCATACAAATTCTGAAATGCATATCCAACTTCAGCTATGACAAAAATGGGTCCTACGCGAGTATTATTGCCATAATGATACTTCTTTGGAATATCTTCTCTTTTATACACTTTGAATGTATTAGTCTGTTCTGCGGCAGACTTCAATTTCTGATAAATCATCTCTTCTTTTCCTAAATATTTAAAAAAGATGTAGTAACAAAGAAATGTATAATAATTCTGTAAAAATTATATTGTAAGGCACTCTTACCAGGATGTGGAAAAATATGTAATCCTGGGGAAGATCCCACAAATATGTAATCACTAGCATTGATATAATTCGTTAAATTTATTATTCTTTCCATTGTAACTGATGCCATGCCATGATCACTTAAATGAATCACATTAAGGTCTGTCAAGCCATAATGATTAATCTTATCATGCATATATTTTGTAATATTGTCTAATTTTTTGAGAATTTCATTAAATTCAGGGCTGTTTATTCCTACTGCGTGACCGTGGTAATCTGGATCTTCAATGTACAATATCCCCAAGTTAATCGGATTTGTAGGATGTACAAACCAGGATAATAATTCATCGACCCGTTCCTCCCATGGAATTGTATCATTAAAAGCCTAAAGTGTTTAATTAAAGTGTTAATTGATATCCTTTGGATTTAAATATGTTATTCCATATGTTGGATACATACTTGTGCGAAGGTAGGTGATGTTCCTTGATATTCGAACACAGAACCTGGCCACATCATTGTACCACTACGTCTGCCACTTTTCTCATTAACCGTCTAAAACAAAACACATTAAGATATAAAAATCACATTTAAAAATATAACAAAATACAAAATATAATTACTATCCTATTACATACCCAAATAGGTAAAATATTGTTGTTGTAATGATACAGCTCATATGAATATTTTGTAAGATTATTTTTGCTAGGATCAAAAAATTCATTATCTACAACCCCATGTGTTTCCGCATAAAATCCGGTTGCCATCGTATGATGATTGGGAAAGGTCTTGGTGACAAAGATATTCATCATGTAATCCGTATAAGTGCCCTCTGCCTTTAACTGGCTCATAAATGGTGTCAGCTCTCTGTCAAAATAGTCATATCTGCAGAAAAGAAAAAAAGAAAGAAAACAAATCAGCTGTGTTTCTTCATTTTATGAACATCTAAATAAATAATTAACTACCGATATGTAGACAAAATAAATAAATGTTGATGTTTTCGGTCTCATTGAGCAGGATCTTGTATCTAGTAGTTAATATTTACAAATATTATACATTTCGCACCTGAACGCATCGTAGGAAACGACCAACAGTTTCGGAGTATGTGGCACGGGACCCGCCCGGACGTTCAGCAGGAAGAGAAACAGCGAAATCAATGGGGCTGCAGAGATCATGGTGGTACGAGCTCGCGATGACTTGTTGGATCATCACATAGATCGGTGCGAATTATCGTCCCGATATCGCGAAAATCACAATCGCGAAGACATCACTCATGGTTACGTTCGTAACCTGTCATGTGTACGACGGCATCGAGCGTGCTCCGACTTTCACGAGAGCGCGAACCGGACGCCACCACCGCAGCAAGCGGTCACGAGCGGTCACGAGCGATTGTTAGAAGGACATCATTTCACGATGTATATCTACCCAGTGGCGCTCCCAGTGGCATTCACGAAGGAATGCGGGTCACGCTAATTGCCAGTCGGCGTCGATAAGATCCAGCGTGATACGGGAACGTGCCTCTATGAAAATTTGTAGATCTGTTCTTTTCAGCTGAACTCGCACGTTCATTCTCTCCATGTTGAAAAGAAAAGCTGAACTGCACGAAGTTCAGCTGAAAAGAACAGACTTTTTGTTTTTTAACTGTTCCATGTTGCACTTCTTGCACTTGAAATGAAATGGATATAAGATCAGAGATTAGAGAAAAGGAAAAAAATGAGAAAAAAAATGAGATAAAATGAGATAAAAGATTACTACTCTATCGGATATAAATATCTCATGTAATCGAATTGTTCAAAACCACGTCAAGCTACGCCTGATTTTCTGAAGAAGATGAGTGCAAATCGAAAGATATTTTAACGTGAGACATTCCACTACGTCTCGCTGTTGCATTGTCGAAAATAATGATCAGTTTCGGAGAATTGTTGAATATCAATATGAAGAAGTTTTCTTGACAATAAAGTAAAACTTTTTTTTATTAAATAGTAACTTTATGGATTCTCTTCTGTAAAGGAATTAAGAACATTCTATCTGTTTAGCTATATATATATATATATAAATGTACTTACATAGGATACTTTAACCGGTAAATCCCCGATAAAAATAATGTGATGATTTTGTGCATGAATTGGATATTTCACCAGTCAAAGTGACATTATATTGCAGATTTATGTGAAATGTAAGCTATTATTTATCTTCACATGGTAGTCTTTAATGCTTGAAATAAAATAATGGAATCTACTATAAACCTGTTATGAGTCATAGAAAAAACTTTTGACTTTATAATTTTAGATTGGTACATAGAAGCTTAGAACTGCCTGAAATGTTGCATGTTAAATGAATGTTTAGCACATGAATCTTATCTCAGATTCCAATGTATTTACTAAATATCTTTTGGTATGTAAGATAAAATTGTAATTCAAAAGTCAAGAATGATATATTATTTATTGCAATTATAACTTGTCATTGTTGCAGATAATTATAGAAATCGCATGATAACGAGAATAATACAGAAGTAAATATTGATGAACAACTGAAGAAATTGACATATACCTATAATGGAAATAAAGACATTTATCTTTTTTGACTTAGAGACAACTGGTCTCATAAAGGAAAAAATTATGCCGAGAATAACGGAAATTGCTTTAGTTGCTGTTTCAAGAGAATCGATATTTAATTGCAACAAAAATTCCATACCAAGGCTCTTAAGTAAACTAGTGCTTCCAGTTAATCCACAGACAATGATACCACCAATTGTGGAAGATATGACAAGTGAGTTATTTTATTAGTCTAAATTAATAAATATGTAAGTTAATAAAAACAAAGAAAAATCAAAATTATATAAATGGTTTTATAATTACTGTATTAATTCTTTTGCGATACTAATATTATGATCGTATAATTTTGTAGAGTTATATAACGATGACATGCAGCTAGTACAGCCATTTGAAATTGAAGTTTATGAATTAATAATTAGTTTTTTGCAACGTTTCTCGCCACCAATTTGTTTCGTAGCACATAATGGTAACAAGTTTGATTATCCAATTTTCTTGGCAGAACTTGCATGTATTAATAAGGTAATTGGTTTACATAGTCAGTTTTTCATTTTATTTTTTATTTTATTTAATAACGACGTTTTTTCCTTGGTAAAGACACTCAACAATCAGATTCTTTGTATTGATACTTGGGAGATGTTCCGAGATTTTTATAATAAAAGAAACTTGGAACCAAAAATACAGGACTTGTTAAACGATGAATATAATGATTCGCTCTCCATGTTGGATATAGACATGATGATCAAAGAGGGAAATGTTGAAGTTATCAATGTACCAACATCTTCTACAGCAACAACGTCTACAGTAACGATGTCTACAGCAACAACATCAACTGTACAAACAATGTTTTCTTGTGATAAATCTATCGAAAGTGAGAATAAGAAATTATATTCAAACGAGCAGTATAACAATGATCTTCGATTGTCGAAAAATCTCATACAAGAGATGAACGAAAAAACGCCGGAAAATCAAAAAATAAGGCCAGATCATGTCTTTGCACAGCGACCATTTAAAAAAAATATTCCCAAGAAATTAAATTTTGAGTGCGATAGGCCAATCAGTTTGAAGCTCAATGTCATTTATGAATACATGTTTGACTCTAAATTTTCAGGTCATTCAGCCGAAAGAGATTGTCTCGCTATGATACGTTGTGTCATCAATATTGCTGATTTTTTTCTCAATTGGTCAGACAATCACGCAATTCCATTGATTTGCTGGAAAAAAACATAACAAAACAATATTATTGCAATGTTATTGCAATGTTATTAATTATAATAGAAGAAAATAAAAACAAACTGTATAAAAAGCGCAGACGAATGATTAAAATGCAAGGCTAGTGTACGAAATTAGAAAAGTAATATTACTGAATATACTTTCCTCTTCCAATTGATATTTGATTCAGTGATTGAATGCAAATTGATGTTCTAAACAAATATTGAATTACAATGTTAAAAATCAGAAATCATTATCAATTTAATATGGCTAATATGAGAAGAGGAATCGCGTGCCTTAATTTTATATAATCATTTATTATATTCAAGAGTTCTGTTTTTGAAATTGTTTTAAATCTATATTTTTAGGTTTTATAATTTGTATAACACATATAGTTTTATAATATTTCTTTCTTAAAGATATGAATTTAAAAATTCGTGGAAATACGTTATTGACTTATAATTAATGAAAAATTATAATTCTATATATATAATTATAATTCTATATATATAAGTATTAGATATGACCAATTAAAAGAGCAAAAGAATATAAGGAAAACAAAATGAGATACTTTTTCTTTAGAGGAAGAAAAAACTTTAAAAAAGGAGAATATTAAAATTTATGTATGTGTATGCACACACACACACACACACACACACACACACACACACGCGCGCGCGCGCGCGCGCATACATACATACATGTATTTTAATATCCCCAATTCAAAACTTTTTTCCTTTTAAATTAGGAAAAAGTATCTTATTTTGTTTCTTACTTATACGTTTCTTACTTATATGTTTGAAAAAAAGTCTGAATTTTTTTTATCAATAAGAATTAATTAGAAAAATACTAAAAAAAGAAAATAAATCTATTTTTTCCTTCAAAAATTTTTTATATGATATGAAGAAAGGAAAAAATATAAATAAGACTGTTTTTGCAAAAAGCATAGAAAAATTTATTAGAAAAATGAAAAACACTATGTTAAGCATGTTTAATCACCTATGTATGTATGTTACTTGTTTAATCGTTCTAGAGTAAACTAATTTTTTAATTATACATATCATTTGAAATGCATGAATATTTAAGAATATTTACTTTACACTAAATAGAACATTTACTAAAAATATTTTAATTAGTTCAGCAGATATAAAAAAATTATATCTTTAAATTTTCTTTTAAAACAGATTTTACTTAATAATATAAAAATTTTAATTCATGATAATAATATAATCATTAATTTATAACAGCTATCAATTAACTATTAACGCCATTTATATTTGTGATGTTTTTGTAATTAACTTGTTAATTAAAATGATAACGTAGATGTAATGTATCATTAAAAATGTGTAATAAATTAATGATTTTGTTAATTAAAATAATGAGTATATTTTAATATATCATTCCTTAAAAATACGAACAAAAATGAAACAATCAGCTTCAAATTACCCAAAAATTTATATAATTAAAAGAAATTTCTAAGTTCTGTAATAAAGTTCTGTATAATAAAAGTTTCTATATTTGATATTTGATATATCTGATAAAATTTTAATATAAAATTATTTGCTTCTTGCAGTTGTAAATGCTAATAACTCTAGATACAATTATCAATATGGATATATAGAAAATATTTCGCAAAATTTAATAATTATACAATATGATAATAATTATACAATATGATTATAAATTTGATTAGTAATGATAGTTTTTTCTTAAAACTTTCAAAATTTCAAGCTCTGTAACAGTTTACCTGCTTCATTAAGTTCAGGTTCTTCTTTAGGTTCTTCCGGCGCTAATTCTCTTGTTGTTAATATAATGAATTCGTTTTCGTTCACTAGAAAAGTTCAAGCGAAATCGTGATGTTAGTTTAGTTAGAATGCTAAATGCTATATTTATTAATATAAGTAAATTATTTTAATAAATAAATAATATAAATAATCAATTTTAGTTGATTCCCCCCCCCACACATACACACGCATACACGCACGCACACACACACGATTTTAATTTGTATTTATTTGAAGAATAAAAAAAACAAATGCTATAGATTTCCATTTAATAGTAGTTCATATGAAACCGGCTTTTCTTAATCGGAATTGATTTAAACGAATAATCAATTAAATTGAACGTTGTGCTAGTAAACTTAGAAATTTTATATTTTAACTAATAATTACTTTATTTTATTAAATTTATACATGTATTATTATTAGATTTGTTAATAAATATTTTTAACAGTAAATTATTATCAAGTTATGAATCATTAATATTAGTAATGCAATTAATATTAGTAATAGTTCCTGATATAGTTGCAAACCTGCAAACAATTATACTATTTTATCAAGATTTCTTGTACAATTATTCTGGCTATTGATCTTTGACTTGAAAATTGTGACCAGTTATCGAGACTGGTTAAACTAAAACCGGTTAACTGAGATAGAAGATATTCTACTGTACTTACAAATCCATTCAGCTATTGCGTATGGATTGTTCCCGATATTCGTTTTGATTTTTTGTAGAATGTAATTCAGTCTTCCTTCCATATTTCTTATTTCTGCAGCTCCGATAGTCTCTAACAAATTAAGCTCATCGTCCCAATAGTATCTTATACAGTGATGATGAAAAGCATCGCGAAGCTTTTCTAGCATCTATAAATATTATCACTACTTTATTTTTATACTAATGAAAAAAAATTTTAACAATTTTGAATTTTGACTTACCGTAAAGAATAAAAAAGTTAGTGATCCTTTTTCAGAAATATGAAACATGTTTAATTCATTATAACATAACGTTTCTATGTAATAGCTTGCAATGTTCTTCCATTTTCGAGTATCTCTAAATTTCTAAAAGAGAGAAACTTACTTAATATATATCGAATAAATTAATTTAATTGCAACAATAATTATTGAATAAAATTATTCATATTCCAATAATATTTCAATGAAATTTCAAAATCAAGATTAGTAATATAGAAAAAGATTTTATGCATTAATTATTTAAAAAAAAGTAAAAATATGAAGACAAAATTAATTATAAAAATACAATTATACTTATAACATTAAGTACAAAAGGTAAACTTAAAATTTATTCGTATTATTATAAATATTGTTGCATTACGATATTATACCTTTAATGTGCGTATTACAGGCTTCATACGTCCATACTCGTGTTTACCCAGAAGATCTTTTTCAAACTCATAAAAACACAATCGCCAATAACGATGAAGTGAGTCTTTGAAACCACCTCTAGTATTGTTCAAAGGTTTGGGTACCACAGACCAATATCTAATGGGAGACTAAAAAACATGAATGATTAGTTAAATAAATGTTATTTATTTGACTTATTGGATCACTATATAAATAATTTGTCGTTCCTTTGTTAAGTTTGATTAAGTAAAATTATTAAATATTAAATCTGAATATTTTTATAAACAGTCTGAATATTTTTATAACAAAAATTAAATGCAGACAAAAAATATAGCAAAATGAATATCTGATCAACGATAAGAAAAACTGTTTTTTCTTTATATAGAATTATTTATTGTTAATTTACTTGATAAAGAAACACACACACAATAAATTCTTTGAATCAAATATTTTTATTTTATATATTACGTACTTTTTTTAAAATGTCCATTTTGGAACATCTTGGTGGTGGCGTACGAACCAAAAAAGCTAAGACTGGAACTACATCGATATCGATTGTTTTACCAAAATTGTTTGATATTTGGAATATTAGCGTAAATGCTGGTCCCGACTTTCTTATCCTTATCTATAAACACAAAGAAGATGTATAATCTTTGTCTATATATTCATTGAATATTTTTCTAAATATCCAAATGTTTCACGTTTTTGTAACATTACAATATTGTTATTCTACAACATATCAATAATTTTATAATAGCCAAAATATATTCAAATCAATCTTATTTATTGAAAATTTTGACATGGCAAAAATTAAATAAAATTTTTCTTTGAAAAAATATATATATGTTAAACTTGTAAAACGTTTATTTAATAAGAATGCAATTGATATTAAATATACAATTGAAATGAACAATTTGATTTCCAAATTATCAATTCTTAACATCTCGTACTGGTGGATAGCCATCGAGTTTAATTTGATTAATTCCACTACTAGTATAGGCCACTTTACTAAAAATTCCCTCCATCCAAGTACGAAATTTTTCTTGATTTAGATATGATTCCTCATCAATGAAGGAATTTAATTCTCTGAAAAGAAATTAAAGAAAGGAAAATAAATTTTTCTTTTATTTTATAAATTATACCGAACGAAGTTTCAAGTTTTAGTATAACATTTACCGACAAGCCTTTGGATCTATATTTAAAGTATCGCGTAAATTTCCATTTTTCCAAGATGTAAGTATTTTAGTGTAACCTGGTCGATCTCCACGAAACTAAAATAATAAATAAGTACTAATTTTTAATATTTATTTTCATCGATTTCATTGTAAAATTACGTATAAATTGCGTTTACATTTTATATTACATATAAAAATAAATCAAATATAAACTAAAAATATTTTCACATAAATGAAAATTGATATTTGCATTTTTAATGCTTGGATAATCTGCAATAACATATGTCTTTAATTAAAAAATAATACTCTATACCTCTATATCTTTTTCTTTAAAGGGCAAGTTGATCACAAAATTTAAATCATACTCTTCCGGTTGTCCGACTCGCGTTCCTTTATAATAACTTCCAGCCCACACTATTCTTTGATATGTTTTTCAAATAATGGACTTTCTCTTTTCATAGCACTTATTAATTGTTCAAATATCTGCGGCATTTATTATAATAAATAACTTATATGAGTGCAATTAAAACATGATATATTTTTAGTAATAAAAGGATTTTTTCAATACTGGATTTAAAAACTGATTGTGATTCTTCACGTTATCGGAATCCATACTTATAAAATATTTATTTATTTTATTGAATATTGTATCATTAACCAAAGATTTTTTAATATCTGGCGTGACCTGCGCCATTGCGTTCGTGATTTTTGAAATCCTGAAATTATTTTAAAATTACATAATTACATTATCATTATAGAACTGTTAATAATATTTTGTCATTAGATTAAGTATGAGATATCTGTAATTCATATAAATATAAAAAATATACAAATTTTATATTTTAAATAAAATCGGAGAGAAAACGTAAGATATACAATAAAAAAATTAAATTTGATATGAAAAAACATATTAATTTATATTTTTAAAAAATTATATTTTGTGCACATTTAGAAAACTCTAAATCTTTGAGATATTATTTTAAATATTACACATTTTTTTGTTGCAATTTAGATAATAAATGAAAACAAACTGATAGTTGTTGCTATTTAAAATTTTGTTACATTATAGTCGGATTTATATTTTATTTACCGTAAAGAAAATCGTCAAAGAAATGAATTGGCAACTTAATTATAAATGCTTAACCATAAATGCTTAATTATAAATGCTTGTATGTACAGTTTCACAGTTCACAGTTCACAGTTCACAGTTCAGCCACATTCACTTTCAATATAATAATTAATAAAAGATTTTTTTGCAAGATTGCAATAAATACTGTTATTATTTGTATATGAAGCAAATTACTGCCTATTTTTAAAAAATGTCGACGAAAGTTAAAAAAAAGTACAAATAAAATAAATTTCTGTACTGATATCAAATGACTTCCGCTGATTATGCTTTTTATACATTTTCTTTTCAATTAGTTTCTTTTCAATTAGCTACAGAATTACATTGAAGATAATTTATTATAATACATATAAAAATATTTTTATATATATTATATAAAATATTATATTATAAAATTTTTATATTTTAATATATTATAAAATTTTTAATATAAGTTTTTTATATTAAAATAACAAAATAATATAGGCTCATTGCAAAATAATATGAAAAGATTAACGACGAGTAAATTACGACGAAGGGATTAAATTCGAGTAAATTAAGGATGGAAAATAGTTTATGATAAATAAGTTAATTATATATATATAATATTTAAAGGTTTCGAATTTTATTCAGTCCTCATCAATATCAATAAATAAAAAAAATATGAGAAGAATAATAAATCATAGAAAAAGTAAATCATAGTCAAAGTTGTAGTTTTGACGATAAAATCAAAAGGCAAACAATGACATATTGACGAACTAAACAGATAATATTCTTAAACAATAAATACTTAAATATAATAAAAATGTATTATAATAAAATTAAGAGGCTGTGTCAAAACTAGCAAATAATAAGAAATAAATTAAAACAATTTTCGTACAATTTAATGTCCATTTAAGTCCAAATTAAACAGTCTGTGGCTTAAAAAGAATTATATTAAATGCAATAGTATAAAATCAATTTGTAGATGTTAAAATCGTTCAAAAGGAATTCTAAGAGATTTAGGAGTTCTATTAATTAAAATTATAAAAATTGTATGTATTGTATCAACGGAAAAATAACAAATATAAATCTATAAATGAAAAGATAAAAAATAATTGATTTGTTCAAATTTGATCGTTAATCTCTTTAGATTATATATAT